GGGGCCCCTGGGGGGGGGGCCCCCCCCCCCCCCCCGGGAGGGACCCCCCCAGTCCCTGCAGCTCCTTTCCCATACATGGGCTTACTGCTGGCAGCATCAGGCCCCCTCACCCTGCAGCCTGAGCCCTCCCCAGAGGAGACACTGACATCAGATCCCTCTCCCTTAAGCTGATTAGGGCAGTGAGGACACATTCGAGCAGATGCCACCAAGGCCATGAGAGTGACCCGACCCTGGAGGCATGCAGAGGGGGCAGCACAGAGCCCCCAGATCTGGGGGCTGCTCTGATCTGGGAGACGCAGGGAGAGGGGCTGGGGGCTGACCACCCCCTCCATGGGCTGGGTATTTGCACGGCACCCCCCTACACAGCCGGTCTGATCCCTGCTGTAAGCCTCGCCTGCAGCCCTGGCACCCTGGACCTCCAATGGGGGTGGGATGGGGAGCACAGCCCTGAGGCGGGGGGCAGGCAGAGGGCAGCCCCTGAGCCCACACCAGCCACCACAGGCACCAGTGGATTTGTGGGCGTGTTCCTGAAGCCGAGCAAGCAGTGCTTCCCCGCTCAACCCTGCATCAATGTCACACGTGAGCCTGGCCCCGTGACTTGGGACCTCCCTGCTCCTGGCACAGCACAGCCCAGCAGGGACACCCGCTGCAGGATCAGGCCATACTGGGCCCAGTGCATTGCCCTGAGCTGGTTGCACAGGGCTCTGTGAGTCATGGGAGATCTGGCTCCTGGCATCCTAGATCCCCCTGGGTGGTGGCAGGGTGGCAGACATCCCACCAGGCCAACTGCATCTCCTCTTTGCCTCCAGCTGCCCCATCCCTTTGCCAGCCTGGGAACAGGATATGTGGCTTCCCTGGAGGAGTGTCTCAAGAAGCCCAGAGGTTTCCAGCTATCTCTTGGGGCCTGTAAGAGCCAGAGATGATGCCCGGAGAAAAGGTGATGCAGCACGGTGGCTGCATCCTCCCCACCCCAGCCCTGCAGGTGCTCTGACTCAGATGGGAGGGGTTTTGCTGGGTGGTTTCCCCTCTCGACAGCCCCCTGCAGACGCGAGAGGACACAGGTCACAGCACCTCTCTGTTTTATTGAAGACCAATCCCTCCCTCCAGCCAGTGCAGAGCCCAGCATGCCCAGCTCTTGTGCATCCACTGGGCCAAAGTCCTGCTCCAGAGGATGGGGGCACCTCCTTGGACCTGGGGGGAGAGACCCAGGGCTGCCCCTCAGTGCCCGGGGCTCCCAGCCCTGCTGTCATCCCTTCTCCTGCTCCACCTCCCACCCAGCCTTGTCCCTGGGGATGTCCCCACCCATGGAGGGTGTCCCACCAAGCCCTGCATTCGAGGGGCTAAAGCCACAGTAAAACTGGAGCATTAAACTTGGAAGTGACCAGCAGGACACGGGCTTGTGTGCAGGGTGTCGGGGACCGTCCCGCTCTGTGGCATGGTCCTCGGGCACTGGGGAGAGGGCAGAGTTGCAGGGGCCAGGCTCTGCTGCCTCCAGGCTCTGGCCTTGCCCTGAGGGCTGGCAGTGCCCCCCACACCTGCCTGTGGCACCTCCAACCCCAGAGACCTGCCCTGGGCAGGACTTACTTAACCCATGAAGGGTATCTGCTTTCCAGACCAAGGCTTCTCCTGAGGTCTGGAGGAAGCCACCATCGGCAGGAGGTGTAGGAGGGATGGAGGAAAGGAAGGCTTTGGAGACAAAGGTGGGGGACCAAGGAGCGGCAAGGAGGGTCCCCTTTCCCTGCCCCTGCCCAGTGGGATCTTCACCCATGGACACAGCTGCCCTGGGGCCCCAGCTCCTGACTCCTCTCTGCAGGGAGAGGGTAGGGCAGGCACAGGCTGGGGGCAGAGCTAAGGACATTCATGGGGTGGGTGGCAGGTTGCAAAGGAAAAGGGGGGGGCACAGTCCCTGCCAGGAGGAGAGCCCATGGTTTTTCCTTCCATTCACACCCCGCTTTAGGTATCCACGTCTGTTCCCAGGATCATGGATCCTTCCTCACCCTAAATTTAGATGGCTTTTCTCCTCCAGCCACCCACATCAGGGAACCAACCCAGCTACCCTGCAAGCACCCCTTGCCCCCCATGCCACTCTCCAAATCTAAAAGGGGGCAACTGAGAGCAGGGCACGAGCCCACCCCCCCATCCCTCCCTGCCGAGCTCCCCAACTCCACAGCCCCAGGCTGCCAGGGACGGGGAGGTCCGCCTGGCACGGCCGAGCCGCTAATGGTAATGGTTGTTCATGTTGTTGAGGTGGGAGGCTGCCATGGCGCTGAACGGGGCAGAGGGCTGGAGCCCGTGCCCGGGGTAGAGGGATGGGCTGGAGCCAGGCCAGTAGGAGAAACTGGCTGGCGTCACCCCCGAGGTCATGAGGTTGAGTTTGGAGATGCCCGAGAAGGGCAGCGGGGCCAGGTTGCCCTGAAATTTGTAGAGGGTGTGATCAGGGGCGGCCGGCTGGCACACCTGCGCCAGCCCATGGAAGTCGAACTTGTAGGCGTAGCGCTTGCCGTGGACCTTGGTCATGATGTTCTTGTCGTAGTAGTAGCGCAGTGCCCGGCTTAGCTTGTCGTAATTCATGTTGGGTTTGCTCTTCCGCTCGCCCCAGCGCCGCGCCACCTCGTCAGGGTCGATCAGCTTGAACTCCCCGTTCGTGCCTTCCCAGGCGATGCAGTTCAGGTTGGCCCGGTCCGAGAGCAGCTCCAGCAGGAACTGCCACAGCTGGATCTGCCCGCTGCCTGCAAGGCCGGGCCGCGGAGAGGTTAAAGCTCCCTCTCAGGGCACAAGGAGAGGGGCAGGATGTGCCCTGGTCTCCTCGACCCCCTGCTATGTTGCCCCCTCCCGGACCCAGGTTTTAGAAGCACCTCATTGCATCTTCCCTGCTCGAGACACAGAAGATGGTAACGAGGTTGTGTCTCCTTTGCAGCGTCCTTACCCCATCCTGCCCCCCAAACAAGAGGAGGAGAGGACAGGGGTCCTCGGGACAGGGGTAGGAATGCTCAGAGGTCAACGCAGGCTGCGGTGGGTCTAGATCCAGGGTCCCCACATCCCTCCTGCCCTTATTCACACCCCACTGAAGATGAATACCTGCTCATTTGCTTTGGTGTGAGGATCTGGCCTGGTTCTTTCATCTGCAGCCCCAAGAAGGAGGTATCTTGGCAGTACCCAGATCTATCCCAGCACTAATATTCCCCACTGCCACCTCTGCTTGAAACTGGGCTGGTGTCACAGCACGGCCCCTGCCCATCTCTAGGGGCACTGTGCCCTGCAAGGATGTCTCCATGGTGAGCTGAAGTCGGGGTGAAACACTGCTCTGACCTGCACCCCTGGCAGGCGCAGGCAGGGATAGGGGAAGGAGAGGTGACCTGCACCCCTGGCAGGCGCAGGCAGGTATAGGGGAAGGAGAGACCAGGACAGGGCAGGACCTGCTGTGGCTTTGAATCAGGCACCAGTGTTCCTTATTTCCAGAGGAAAACTGTCCTCTCTGAGCCATGGCCATTGCACCCGCAACTTGCACTGAGCAGGACCCTTGGTGGGTGCCCGAGATGCCCCTGTGCCAGGCTGTGCACACACAGGAGCCTGGCGCACCTGGACATGCCCATGGTGAGGCACAAGGACAGGCTCCACTGAGTCTGGCCAGAGGTCACGAGAGGAGAGGGTCCCTGGACCTTAGGGTGATGAGCAGTTCTGCCTCTGGGAATCAGCCACCCTGCAGAGCAGCCCTGCACTTTCCTAGACCCCCCCGCCACTTCCCCCCATTCCCTCCCAAGCAGCACCCCCTGCGCATCCCTGGTCCTGACCCAACCCTTGCAGCAAAGTCTCTTCCCACGGCAGAGGAAGTGTCTTTGCATTTCATCCTCCTCCCTGTGCTTTTCTGCCACTATTTTGTCTAAAGGTGCTTGGATCCCATACAGCGGTTTAGCACCCACAATCCCTGCAGCAGGCAGGCCCACAGCTCAGCTACGTTTCCCACAAAGAACCACCTTGTCCTGCTTGCTTTGCACCCACCTATTTTATCTGGTCCCCCCCAATTCTTGCTCTGGAAGAAGCAGGGAACAGCCGTTCCCCCTCCATCCCCATTCCACCAAACCTCGCTCAGACATCCCAATCCATGCAGACGAGCCCAGGTCTTTCCAAGGTATTGTATTTCCAAATCCCCCATCCTGGGACCAAGGTGGGGGATCTCTCCTCTCTAGGGTACATTCACAGCCCTCACTTCTCCATCCCCGCAGCCCCCACCCTGGGCTCCTGCTGTCCCCCAATCCCCCACCCATGAGGTTCCCCAACCCACGCAAGGAGGGCAGGGAGGAGTTGGGGGGTGCAGCTGGGTGGGACGGCGAGGTTCAATCCTGCCTGCCGCAGGGTGCTATACTGCAGCGCCTGGCAGCTCCCTGAGGAAACCTCCAGGATTCCAAAAAGGTCCTTCTCAGCGCAGCGCAGTGCGCAGAGGATGGCTGGGGCAGAGTCCGCAGTGCAGACGCAAAAGGGCCCCTCCCCGGTCCCAGCTTTGCCCCCCTCTCACCCCTAAACCAGGGCTCCCCTTTTCCTGCTCAGAGCACCCCCTGACCCCTGTCTCCTTGCCAGACTGGCAAGCTACATGGCCCAAACGCCACAGCGCTGGCCCCGTGTCTGCCCGATGACCAGCCCTGCTGTGCTCCCCAGCAGGCTCCAGGCTGCTCCCTGGCCAGCCCTTGGCCGATCCCCGGGATCGCTGGACGGCTTTACCCGGACGGTTGGCTCCGGCTCCCGGGAATCCACCATCTCCCAGCCGACCCATGCCTTGCCCGAGCCCCAGCCCTGCACCGGCAGCTCCCTCCTGGGTGGTATCTCACCTCATTCCTCCACTCCCAGGCACGGGTCCCCAGAGCCCAGATTAACCCCCCCAGCTCCCGGGCTGGCTGGCAGCTCCCTCCCCATCGGATGTCCCCAGAGCACCAGGGGGACTCGAGCTGGGACCCCGCACCCACCCAGCCCCATTGCAGGGCTCCGGGGGGGCCGGGGGCACTGGGCACCCTGCTCCCCTCCGCTGCAGCAGGACAGCGGCTCCCAGCCGTCGGGGCTCGGCCGCTCTCCCAGTGGGTTTTGGCGGCGGGATGCTCCCAGTCCGAGCCACGTGCAGCAGCAGGGAGCGGGGCTCC